TCCTCGATTTGCCACGTTTACTCATCCATTTGTATCATCGCAATTGAATGATTTAGTATTCTCTGTTACCTTTAATCTCAATCAATTTAACCAAAAAAGAACCTTCGCTTGAACCTCGAATCATAGTGGCTTAGTGTTCGTGAAGCACACCACGCATATGTTGAGCTATACAAGCTAAAGGACCTATATAAAATAAGTGTATTCAAATAATTTCGTATATCAGGTTTACACAATGGCGAGTTGATCTAGGATATTAGATTTACTTAGCAAAAAGTACATTCGACAGATGTATCTGTCGCTAATGGTGAATATCCACGACTGAGATTATGTAGAACTTCCCCTTAGGACACCGTTCATGCTAAAAAGGACATGATTAAATGGTTCAATATTGATAATAATATGTCTTTTTTGACGTATCATGGCACAGCGCGCCTTGTTAGGCCGAATAGTTGAGTAGTAAACGGATCGGACAGATAGATGTGTTAGTAAGCCCGACACAAGTGGTCCTAGCGTGTAGTACAATGCAATTAACGGGACATGGAGTAATCTGTGATTTTTTCATTACAATGTATTGCGATCTGCATTAAAGTCTGCCTGTTAGGCTCACGTAATGATAGTCAATAGCGTTGTTACTGGTGAACCGGCCTCTCCGCATCGACGTATATAGAAAGCTACATTATATACATAACTATCTATGATTTGCTAATAATAGCAGTTGGACAGCGCTATTGACACAAATTAAAAAAATAGCTTAAATAAAATAGTTTCTCAGTAGAAGCTGGATAAAGATTCATGCTTTGAATTTTCTCTCCGAAACCGCCGTTAGATATGGCTACATCAGACAGCTAGTCCTCTACCAGTTAGTTGTTTTTTGCGTTAAAATTTAATTTCATATCACAGATACTTCTACACTTTGCTGCCAGACGCGATACAATCATGATTACTTGTGCCTTTTTCTGATGACCTCTGCGTGACATTTATTATACTCGATGAAAAAAAAAGAACGAATCTTCAAGCACATTGCAGGTCTAATACGCGCTGTATTACCTAAAGGGGGATTCAAAGTCGTCTGCGCGTTTTGCAAAATGTGGTCCTTCGAATAGTTCTGCTACGTCACATATCTCTGAATAAATGTGCCCCTTATCCTGCCATTGCACTTCTAGAACATTTATATGACCTTGTCTCCCACTATGCTAATTTTTTTTGCTCATTTATCGAAATAACCCTTTGAGCACCTGTAACATAGGAGAAGTTTGTGCAGTACCTCTAGAGTTTCTCCTTACTTTTACTTATATCATAGAATGCTGTGCAATTGCTCATCTTCCTTCTTACTTCATAATACAGTTTTGAACTATTTAGTTACTTTTAGGTGTACATTTTGGATTTTTGAAGTAGACAAACCTGCTTCTCAAGAGGACCCTTTTTTAAGGCCTTTTCATTTGTTATTTGGTGTGATATTGTGTCAAGTCGCGATCAAACAGTATCTAATATTAAGGTAAAGCAGATGTTCGAGATGGAAGCAACTTCTAATCATCAGCCCTAATCTGCAGACATCCCGAATCAGTCTGTCGTCCGACGCCGGATTACAGTTGTAGGGTAACCCATAGCAGTGAGGCAAATCGCCGTTAGTCGAAGAAGCTTGCAGGACTTCTAATCTGTACCGGAAAGCAATTATTGACTCAGACTAGAGTCAAGCACTTGAAGTACGTGTCCAGATATTCAATGAATGAAACAAAATAGCCTTATCCACTACATTGTATATCCTTATACATATTCTTTAGCCATTCTGCTGTGTTGCACTCTATCATCGCCATTCATAAACGTTTTATTTCAATCTCTGTGACGCCGATTTTGGCGCCCAGTGCGTGAGCGATATTGAGAACCTGTTAGACACTAACGAAATCAGCGTTTGTTATCTTCCCTCCCCGTTACTTCTCTGTTGTCCTGCCCATCTTGTCCTTTAACCTTTGGTTTTCTACTTGTTCTTTGCTTTGCTGTTGTTCGATAGCCTCGCTCTGAAGCTTGCCAACTCGCATAGACACATACATACATTTACATACACAAAAACAAACAGGTACACACACGCACAAACAGTTATGCAGAAAGGTCTACGCCCGTAAATCTCCCTCACCAACAAAATATTTTCTCTAATCTTTCCATCCCGTTGTCACCGCTGCTGCTGTTATATTTGCGCCATACAAATATCCCTCTCTATTCTCCGGCTTCCGGCCTTAGCCTTTGGTTCCAGTTCGATCGACATAAGGTTCAATTCGATGACGTTTTTTTCTACCCCCAACGTCCTCGGCTAGTCCTACTATCAGCCATGTCACCACCGACACTACGGCTACTAGTAGTCTCTTCTAGCACAGTTCCCTTTCCGTTTCCATCTCATAATTTTTTCCTTTTCGACCACCGCCGCCGTCACGATATGCTTCTGGTAAACCTCACTTCACCCATTCAGCCACGCCAGACACTTCTCTTGGCATATTGCCTCTGTCCAATCACCCAATGGCTTTATATCGAGGCGTACAGCACGAACAAATAACGTTATAAAAAAGAGTCATTTCAGCGTAAGTGGAACAAATACGAAGATGACAACCATAGTGATGCTGATTACGTAGCTGCCAGGTTCATGATAGTGGTTCCTGCTTGGCCTTGAACAGTTTCGTTGTTATGTCGTTTGAGCTGGCCGCACCCAGCAACAGCAGCAGTAGTAGCGGCTTCGGGATGAGCAATAGGACTAGCGATAGTCGTAACTGACCTGGCTGAGGCCATACTCCCATGTTATTAGAACTATTCTCTATTGATATAATTTGATAAAGGCAATAGGGACGTTTTCAATAAGATCGGCGAAGAAAGTTTTCGGTCGAATAGTTTTATGCCTATCCACCATATTAAGGCTGAGATACGGGCTGTTTATGTTGATTCCATGTAAGGATAGCATAACCCCTGATAACCCTGGTAGCGATGGAAAAGATAAGCTGGTTCAAGAGAACAAAGTGAAAGAAGCCTCTTCGATTCTCGTAGAAGCGTGTTTTTGTCTCAGTGTTAATATATGTATACACGTGCACGTGTTGTTGTTGGAGCTTTGATTGATGCAACTAGAGATCCAGTATTATAGCCATAATCTAATTTTCTTTACCTTTATGCGTTGTTTTTAAATATACTCCGAGCTATATATTACACTTGTGTAATCATACGATATAAGCAAAGCATTGAATGTTAGTAAACAATATTTCTTAGCGATTTGACCGCCTGAATTTGGAAATGCGTCGTAATACATTACGTAAACAGTAGTAGTACGCATGACGGGGGGTTCAGAATGTCTCAGGACGAAACGCTTGATAGGTGAATGAGTCGAACTATTACAAGGAACCGTCATATTTGTCGTACGTACTTTGAATTGATATCCTTTTTTTATATTTATTTTTGCGTATTTGGCGAGCTCAGATATCTTGCTTTAATTTAAACAGTTAGATGAAAAAAAAGCAAATAATTTATCTTAAGAATCGTAAATAACTCACATTTGCCATTTAAGCTCGAGGTATGGATAAGAGTGCGTTCAATCAATACAAATTAACTATTGCTTGCGTTTGTACAAAGAAAACAAACGACTTTTTTTTTTAAGCATACTTAATACATTTCATCGCTCTGAGAAAAAAATGGAAAGTCCAGAAATCAGACATGAGACGAATGTCAATATATCCATTGGCTCTAATGCGCAGGTCCGAGGCAGGGAGTGATCAACTATTGAACCTTATAATGCAAAACAGCCATATAGTCGTTGAGGAAGTTCTTATAGTGATGCCTGCCACTTATCGTAACTATGAGAGAACGTAACGAACCTTTCCTATTACAGATATATTTAGAGGTTAATGCACTAAGTTTAATCGAGGGTATTTTGCATTACCGTATTGCCTAGGTCGATAGAATGCTACCTCTGATTCAAAATCGTGAGCTGTTCTATCAAAAAACTCTAAGATTCGATACTTCACACTAAGAAGCATTCGAGTAGACGACGGGTAAACCATTTATACAAAAAAAAAAACGAACGAGTCGCAAGTTAAATCGTAGGCACCCATTACAACGTATCTGTTAATGTCTATAACGAACTTTGCGTATAGTACCTGTCTGATCATGATTTAGTTAGTTTATATATAGATTGCCGTCGGCACATTCGATGCCGGCGCTTTTTTTTACTTGACAAATGAACACAGGGATACCTGCATCTGATCAAAGTCAACATCGTCACAATATCAGTTATACAGCTTTAAAAGCTAACTATATATATATATCTGAGTTCGTCAGATGACTTTCTATTTTCGCTTCGAACGTAAAATTCACTCTTGCTCACGTAACTGGGCCATCTTTACAATCTGCTTGAAGAGTCGCTCACAAACAGGTGCTGCCTGGCGTACCAGTTCGACTTCGCGGCGCGCGAACGGAACGTTGTTAAGTGGTACCAACTATTTAGCTGCCGACATTTCCATAGAAGTTGTCTGATGCCAGTTAAAATGTGTCTTCCTTTCAACTTGTGATTATTTCAGATGAGCACAGTTGACATGACGATTGCTTTCGGTACGAAAAATGTCATCTAAACAATAACAACTACGGTAATGCTGGAGACGAGAAAGCTGGGAACGTAGTACGTATGGTCTTCGTTACGGAATTGAATTCTACTTGCTTACAATGCATTCGACAGTAATAGCAAAAACGAAGCAAGCCAAAATTGTCCGAAGACGAGTGGGGAGGGGGGGGGGGGGGAAGAACTATCAAGCGTGTCAGCGAGGACATTTTTACGCTTAGCGCTTATCGTGACATTCGTTTTGGCACGATCACCACAGCCACTACGCGATATGTGCCATTGGCAGCAACGATACGACGTTCAACGTTGTGGAACGTCCCGGAAAAAGTGTGTCTAGTTACCTCAGAGAGATAAATTTTGCCAAGGCGGGATCAACGCAGGAGACAGATCAGGTAATCAAGACATGCCAGCGTGCTGCCGCCCGTGCAGAATGTTGCGTTTAGTTTTTGTCCATATCTGTTGACTATGCTAAGATGCGTTTTGCTGGTTATTGTATCAAATGCATATCGTCCTCAGACGAAAAGCTGGAAAAAATGGTCCAGGGGTGATTCGATATGCTGATTGTTTACGTTCTCTGTGTAGCGTTTCAACTTTATAATTGCAATGTAGTCAAGCCCTCTTCTTAGGTTAAGACAAATAATGAGCCCGGACATTGTCGAATGGCGGTGAACGGCTTAAAATGTTGATTTCAACACAGTGTTGCAATAGGGTCGGCTTCGGTCGCAAAAGCAGTCTACGGAGTACATAGACGCTCGACAAAACTTACTACTGCATCTGCGAGGCAGTGACCTTTTGAGGTCTAATTTAAAATCGACTATTATACCTAAATCGATCAGTTAGCAGCTTCGACGGAGATGTTTGTAGCTGTGAGCTCGATTTAATTGATTTTACATGCTTCTTCATGAAATCGACTCCTCTTAAAAGCGATTACATGTGAGCTGTACAGACCAGGACCAGGGAGACGAATGGAGACGAACAACCGGTAGGTTTCGTTAAGAAGAAATCTCGTTGAACAAAAACACCTTGGGGGCATGCTGTCATCGGGAGGTTGATTGAAATTTGCATATCATTTTACCTCAGTTCTAAATAATTATTCGACTCTATTATGCCTGGCGCATTTTCTACCACTTAATACATATTGTGCGTAACATTAAAACTGTGACGACTCCCGACTAGGGACCTGTGCAGAATCGATCTCCTAGGTCTCTGAGGCATAACACGGATCACTCTACGGTTTCCAGCCTTCGACTTGGAATACATTTGCCCCCGAAATGAAATAGGTAAATCTAGTTTAAAGGTCTACGTGATGAAATTAGGTGATCCGCGCCTTTCCGGCCCAAAACTGATTAAATATAGAGACGACAAATGCTCGATCCGATTGGATGTAGTTCGATATTATTATTATGAGATCAATTGTCGCCATGTTGAATGACACAAAACAACTAGCTGGCTCACAAAAATGAGCCAGTTAGTTGTTACCACGCGGTGAATACGGCGCTCAATAACACGCTACGCGAAAGCATCGGCTTATTTACATGTTATATTTAGATATCGTCGATCTGATCGCCAAATGCACTGTTTAAATAATAGTATATGTTACACTCACGTTATCAATCACGACACATATAAATCGGAATCGGTTTCGGTAGGGGCAAATCAAATGATGCGTACGCCATCTACCCTGTCACTGCAATAGATAACTACAATCGACACGACTGATCGATAAAGCTGATATACTTTCAATAGTTTCGTTGTTCTAGATTTGATGTTCCGTTACAATTGTCGCTTCCATTTTTCAACTTTCTACGCGACCCCCGACTCCTTGTCTTCTCTTACCACCACTGCCTCACTCAGTCGGTTGCCCCATTTTCCCGCATCGCTGAATTTGCCCTTTGTTCTCTTCCGTTTAGTTCCGCCTGTTGCTTCCACTATCGCATGGCGGTGTTATGTGTATGTACATTTAATATGATTGACGCGGGTGATCATATCGAAATAAGCTAGAAGCGCGTCTTGAACTCGGCATCTGCCCATGGTTGATGCTAATTTTGGGGCGACTCTCACCGACACAGACGCCGCACGATTAGCTGTATCATGCCGTCTGAGGTAAGCTTGACATTATACAATTAGTTAGATTATTATAACACGGTATAACCATAGTTGATTTGCACTTTATGGCGGTTGCGTCGTCATGGAACTTGCATTAAGCTGCTGTTTGTCACTGCTATGATTGAATCTTCGGTCTATTTATGCTTGTACCGTTCTTCTCCACCACTGCACAATTGTTCGAGCTAACGTTCTGTCTAGACGCAGTTTTACCCAGTCTGCAGTCTGCCGGGGCTCTGGCAGCCTGCACCCTGGTTCCAAGCCAGCTTCTCTGGTTAAGAAAACCTTCCTTCTTTTCCGTAACTACATGTTTTATAGTACAAGACCGTCGTTTGCGAGTCTTATCCTTTCCTGTCTGATGACGTTCGCCGACCATAACACTTAGCTGATTGACACAAGCTAAACGATGCTTGCTTTTGCGTCTGCTGCCATTGCTGATATATTGCTGGCGTTGATTAGTTAGCCGAATGGAAACCTCCAGATGAAGAGGAACTACGCCGACCTGCGAAAGACAACAAAACAATACCGCTATCGGCGTCAGCGTAAATTCCAACGCGGACGCGATCCTTGTCGACTTTCAGTAGCCCTTATTTGTCGTTTTCGATAGCAGCAATGGCGACAAACGCGTTAGTTTACCTACAATCAATATGCCGCCCGATTCATGATTGTTGTGCGTTCGCAGCTTGGATTGTGTTTGGCTATGGGATAGTCGCATTTTGTTCGCACCCAGACTGGAACAGAACATAGCATAGTGGCATTCCCCGTGTTGGCCGCGCTCTTGGCTTACTTGGCGTACCATGCATGAACTCCTCATGCGACAATTAGCACATTTTTACAAACGAGTTTCACGAAAACCCGCCGTTGCAGTTGTCTTTCATATGCCCGACCGTACGCGCCTTCCGGGCCAGCGCAGACGGCATCGCCTTGTTTCTCCTCGTTCGCTCGACAATGGCGATCGAATGGTAAAGAAAAAGAAGCCTCTTCGGAAACAGAAGCCCTTTGCCATATCACTTGTAGTGCAACAAAATTTGCCTGTGTCCTGAGTATGTCGCTAGAGCCATCGCTCTTTAGCCGATACCACGAATGTTACTAGTTTTAGGGGCTGGCGATGGCTCACAAACGTGTCCGCGAGCGCTCACTGCGGTCAGCCGCTCACGACTTCATCAAAGGAACACAGAGCAAGTGACATCATCGACACTGTTCGGGATCTACAAAGCTGTTCGTGCTAAAGGTACCACGAGGGCTGCAGGAATAGTCTGTAATAATAAAGCTGCGAGTTATCGATAAGTCAACAACTTTGTCACGTTCTTGTCGGCATACGTTAACTGTAGCTGTTGTAACTTCTGCGATTGCTGCTTCTTGACGTCGCAGACAAATGTTACCCCCAATCGGATTAAGTAACCCGTATCTATTTTGTTCCTCAGCCCGTTGGGCCCGCTACAAATAAATTAGATAGTATTACCCTACGGACTGGTAAAACTATCCTGCAATTGTCATGCGTGTCGCTACTTATGGTTGTCTTTGTTGTTGCTGCTGGGGTTGTCATTAACAATAAGTATTGATGATAACAGCCTAATAGCCGAGGTGTAGACTTAGACTGGTAAGCGTACGGGGTGGGGTGGGGTGGGGGGTGTATCTATAGACGCACCAGCCTTGACACACCACGATAGTAGCAATCATATTTATCACTTATACACTTCCATCGCAATGTTCTTGTTGTTGGTGGTGGTATTATTGTTAATAAAAATATTGCCCTGTTCGTTTACACGGAATAAGCAGGGTAGACGACGCTATCTGTTGATGTCTCCCTGATTCACTGATTCTTTTTATAGACCTACCGAGCAAGCTTTAAAGATATGGATGTGTAGTCAAATATGCTCCTACCCACTATATATATGTATATATATATATATATAAATTGCTCTGTCTATTCGGTTCGTGCTGCGTTTATAAATTAAACGATTGACTACATTTGCTTTCTGTACGCATCAAGTGACGTAGCTAATATAGCTAGCGTATGGCAAATCTGGGGTAAAAAGATATTAAAATTTCTATTGGATGTTATCAAGTTGCACGGACTGCATAGCAGCACTTAGGCCACATCAGTTCTTTACGTAATCTCATTCACTCATATCCTTACGCTAATCTACAAGCCTAGCTTCATTACTTTTCTGGCTGCCCAGTAAACAAAGAAAAGCGTCAGTACCAGCGTGCAGGTTTGGAAATGTGTATTTATCTATCTAAGTTGTTGATCCCGAACTCGTCCAAATAATCCCATAAGCAGTCTCGAGCTAGAAAACGCGGTGGCTTGAGTTAGGACCAAGTGCATAATTTAGGACACTAGTGCCTTGTATTTTTGTCATTCCATTCATTTTTCTATTCGCCGCCGCGCTTGCTTGTGCGCATGCATGTTTAGCTATGTGAGCGTCGCCGCTACAAGAAGACGCTGAAATTACGTTTACAAATGTGGGTGGTCGCACCTTGCATGGTCAGTGGCCGATGGGCAATTACTTCAAATAGTTGTGGCGGGTAAATTTGCAAAACCGTGGCACTTCGCTCAGGGTGTTTGCCCCAGGGCACTGAGAAGCGAAGAAATGTTCGTGTGCTCGAGGATAGCGTGAGTGGAATGGGAGACTTCTAGCAGTGTGTGTCGTATGGCTACCCGCCTTTGATGTGAGAATGTTTCGGTAAATGACGGAATGGCCGCTTCTGCCGTTGGCCAACTTCATTTGTGACGTCGGCGTCATAAAGCGTGAACATTGACAGAATTGAGAAGTCCGACGACAATGTAAGAACTAGAGCGGCCGAATCCATTTGTTCTTCCCCTAGCTGCTGAAACACACAAGACGGATAGCGATGTCTTCGTTGTTAATAAAGGAGGCAGAATTTGTATCAAACAGACAGCATGTGGCTGGCAACCAGCGGCACCAACATCAGTAAGAACAAAAATCTACTGAAAAATATATATATACACCATAGCAAAACCAGCACCAGCAACGACGGCAGCACCGACAAATGAAGTTAAACAGAGATAGCATTTACGCACGCCGCCATTATGGAAAAACAGATCGGCTTTGTAGGTTAATAGTAGGCGCAATTAACTTACCCCCATAAATTTTGCAACACTCACGTAATCAGTAACCGCCTTATCTTCGTAACTGATATAAGGGATCAGATTGGCCGCACACTATGTTGAAATGCGGCAACTTCTGGGCACTGGACGCTTTTCGTGCGTCAAACAGACGCCAAACGACAAGCCTATATTATAGCTTTACTATAAAGAACTACCGTAGATTTAATGTCGATACTGTCTTATTTCAACGAATCCTGCGTCTGAGCAACGTGGGCTGACCTTTTACAATCGATCGTCGGTTTAGCAAACGCTTATTATATACCTAGACAACGTCACGAGTGTTTCTAACTGCCTGGATAGCGAGGGCTAATCAATTGTACGCTACTGGAATAATAATGATCAACGGATAATTGGTCGCTAACGTTTTAGCTTGTTAGTTAGAACCCTTAGTCTGATGCGGCCCACCACCCGCTGATTCTGATTAAAAATTATGTTACTAGTACTATATTGTTCCGTCTAGAGCATAGTACATCGAACTAGTATCAAAATGGCGTGTAGCAACTACATTTTCATGGTGTCTCATTGTCGATTGATTCGCTACTACTGGCATATTGTGGCCATTTTAAGATCTACATCTAAATAATGGACACGTTTTAATAACATAGCAAAAATGGCGTTCTATTCAAAGGCTATCGGACGTTCAACGTAGCTCATTATTTGCTACCGCTTAACGATCCCGAACGGTTAGACTGAGCGAGTTTTCTTTCCGAAACTGAGTACGCATCATACGGTTTGTTTCATCTGGACGCAGGAACGATAGACAAGTACTTTTATAGGGTTTCTTGTGAGTGCTGAAAGACGCCATCACTATCGCTAAATGATCTAGTGGCTGCAAGCATCAGCTGATAATACCAAAGTTTGCACAGGAATCATTATCAAGCCGAAATAATTTCTATATATGAATAAGATTTCAGAAAGAATAGGCTTGGACATTTGCTCTGACCCCGTTCTTTGCTCATTTATAGATATTGAAATATATATATATATATATATATATATATATATATATATATATATATATACCGAAAAGTGAATTTTTAACAAACATACGTCTAGCACGCAGTCAACGGCTATGCAACGCTCAGAACTATCTTGGCGTCTGTAGCCAGATAGTGCGAGCCGTACATTCGGTTCCGGCCGTACAGGCGTGCTCTATCCGAAACCCATCGATGATTTTTCTGCCTTTTTGCCATTTTGAATTATTGAGCACAACAATGGACCTACATCACCTCAAGTAACGCCTGTTTAGGAAGCAGTTCCTGATACTGATAATTGTTGATTAACCCATCGAATGCTTTTATTGATTGACTCTACTTGTGTAAACTTCCTCTTAACCGTAATTGGATGCACCTATCCTATGCTAATGCTAGTCTGGTCATCACACGCGCAGCAGCAGGGGCGGCGATTGCCCATTCGAAATATGTCGACAAGTGTCGATTAGTTGACCGAATGCATCTCTTCGAGAAGCGGGCGGCGTCGATTCTATGTTACCAATAGGCCTATTTGCATCAGGCGACACTACAATATGACAGTGGTGCCCGTCGTATCTCTGCTTTACAACACAGCGCGATGTGAAACTAAATTTATCGTAGCGCAAGCCGATCTGTCCTCGATATAGCGTTGCCCTACCGCCGCCATCATCCGTTTGACAAAGGTCCCCTTTCGTAGATCTCTAATCGTTCTTATTCCTCTCTTGTTTTCTATATTTCTTCTTCAAATCGACGACCTCACTGGACTGCGACGTTTTGTGCTCGAAAAAGCTACACCCGAGCGTAATGCTCACGATCGGCTAACATAAACTGTAATTGAAGTCACTTTTATGGCTACAATTACTGTGTATGTTATGACTTATACAAATAGCTACAATGGATCGTTATTGGTACTGTTTATTATCATGAAAGCACTTCTGCACCTTAATAATGGTCGATACAAATATATATATATATATATATTTATATGTAAATGCTATAACGAATGTGTCACCGATGGTGATGATGTCAATCAGAGCAACAAATCGATAAAGGCCGTAGCAAAAAACGATCTTCCATTTTCTCGCATATTGGTTTCCTTTGGTGGCAGTTTTCGTGGGGCCGCGCCTCGTAGCCCCACCTGTTAATAGTATCGACGGGCCAGCGTTCACTCAGCGTGGTGTAAAATCCTCTTATTTTCGCCGACGGAGTTTCATTGTCATCCATGACGGCAGCTGCCCTGCTCGCTGAAGTTGACAGTGCCTCATTTTGCACGTATTATGAGTATAATTATTGTTACTATCGGAATCTTATATTACTATCTCATCGCGCACGGAGCGGGGGAAATGGACCAAAATCAGTTAGTGGTTCAAGCGCGCTCCACCGTTTCTACGTTCATGTATCCTCCCCTATAAGTCCACGCTCCATTAACGACAGCAGCGGCAATAGTAGCGGCATTTTGTGTGGACTTCTGCGACAAAGAGTAAAAGTGGCAGGACAACGATGGCTATACCAGTAGCTGGTGTGTCCATCTACTATGGCTGAACAATACAGAAGCCGACGCGGAGGAGGAAAAGTCGCAATAAATTTCTGCTGCTATCAGCTTCAGTAGTAGCAGCAAAAATCTCATTCGTTCTCGCAGATAGTGGGGACGCCGTCGGCGACTCACGATAGACGCGAGCAGCTGCCACAAACTGTGACAAGTATTGAATTGCGGCTTGTTCGATCGAACGAAT